GTAAGAGCTCCCAATAAAAGTATTTAATTAAAAAAAAAGATTGCAATAAAAAATGCTCCATATTCCAACTATATAGTTCTGTGAAATCAGAGCTTCTTCGTATATCTCAACCAAAACAACATTGCAACAGATTGAATGTAGAAGCAGATATGATCCAGCTGTATCAAGGCAAACATTAAAGAGATTTGCAAAAAGAAATATAAAACAATCCCACTGTTCCCACAAATTGTTTTGTTTGAGAAAATATAATTCTTTTTCATAAAAATATATTACATTAACATGTGATGGGTTTATCATTGCTACCATTAAATGAATACTTTTTTGAACATTATCCAATATTACTGAGTTTATACCATGGCGATGGCAAGTGATGTGAGCTTTTGCCTTAGTCATAGGTTGTACATGTTGTCAGGAGATACCAGTCTCTGGAGAAGGACATCATTGCTGGTGAAATGGAGAGGCAGTGAAAAAGAGGGAGTCCCTCAGTGAGAGCATTGAGACAGTGGCTGCAACTATGGGCTCAAGGACAGGAACAATTGTGAGGATGGTGCAGGACTGGACAAGTGTTTCATTCTGTTGTGCATAGCGTCCTTATGGGTTGGAACCAACTTGATGACACCTAACAACAATTACTACAGTAAGCAAAAGATCTTTGGGGTCTTCCATAATTTTTAAGACTGTAAAGTTGCCTTGAGATCAAAATGTTTGTGAAGTTCTATTTTACAAAGACCAGCTTCACATTTTGCAAGGCATTGCTTCATGAAAGACCAGTGTAGCTCGGTGCAGAGGCAGAAAGAAGTCATTTTCCCAGAATCTTACTTCTGTCCTTTCTTTAGTATACCACATTGTTTTGGAGATTTTGTAATTTTATTCATTTTAGTAGATGTTGTTACTGCTAAAGAAAAAAATGGAAATACTAGATTGCATTCAAGCTTTCCTATCATCTTTAATCCAATTGCTAAGTAAGAAATATTCTTGCTATAAACCACAGAAGAGGATTTATTAGTGGAAAGGAAAAGGGAACAACCCACAATGAATGAAGATTAGTTACTTTTATGAACTAGATTGGACAATTCATGAAACGAATGCTCTTATCTTAAATTTCTTTGTATTTGCCATAGTATATAGAGTGGTTATTTGTATATAGTCGACACTAAGTAGTTATTTGTTGAATGGAAGTTGAATTTAGGGGAGAGTAAATTTATATGGATATCGCCAAGAGGCAAGGCCTAGAATAGGTGGGTCAACTTACAGGAACTCAATATTAAGAATTTTCTACAATTATGCCTTCAGTAATGGGGCAAAATACTTTGGAATGGGCTCCATTCCTAAAATTGCCACAAATATACGAGATATTACTTTATCTGTATTAATCGTGCAATTTGTTTCAACTGTAAGATTCTGTTCTTGTGGTTGTTAGAAGGGAAATTCTTATTGAGATCAAATCTGCTTCTATAATTTTTAAGCAACTTTGAGGTATAAATGGCATACTATAAAGGGCACATGTATAGGGTGTACACATTGAGGAGTTGTGACAACCAAGATAATGATCACAGCCATCACTCCCCCAACTGAAAATTTTTTATTTGTAATCCATCAGTAATTCAATAGTCTTTCTTGTTGAATAGCTTGCCATTATATGGATGCACTGCATTTTGTTTTTCCATTCACCTATTGATGGATATTTTGATTTTTCCAGTTTGTGCCTATTACAAATGAAACTTCTATGAACATATGAACATAAGGATTTCTATGGACGTATACTATCATAGATGATATATGAATTACAAGGATTGGAAATTTTGAATTATGTCATTTCTTTTTACCGTTATAAGACTACCAACTTTTCCCCAATGTAGTTGTACGATTATACATTCTGCCAGTGTGTGAAAATTGTTGTTACTCCTAATCCATGCCTTCATTTGTCATTGTCATTCTTTCTAATTTTAATAATTTTCATGTGTGTGCATGGTTATTGATTGTGGTTTTCTTTTTTGTTATCTTTAATATTTTTTATTTAGTAAAAATTTCTCATTAGTGTTTGATTTGAATTTTTATGAAACCAGGTTGGCAATTCGAAACCACCAGCAGCTCAATGGGAGAAAGACGGGGCTTTTAACACCCATAAATAGTTACAGCCTTAGATACAGGGGTCACCATGAGTCAGCATTGACTCAATGGCACTGAGTTTGTTTTTTTCATTTATACAGATACATAATAGTGACCCGGTAGGACAGTGAAACTGTGCTTATGGGTTTCTGAGACTGTAACTCTTTAAAATATATATTCTTTTATTTTAATGGTTTTATTGGCATATAATTCATATATAATACAATTCAATGGCTCAATCACATCAAGAGGAGTTATACAATCATCACCACAGTCAGGTTTAGAACATTTTCTTCATTATAGTACTCATTGTTATTAGCCTCCCATTTTCCCTCACCACTCCAGCAATACTCCCAGTAACCAACCATTAATTAAGTTACGGTCTCTATAGATTTATCTATTCTGGATTTCATACATGGAAAAACATTTTTTTAAAAACTAACAACAATAGCAAACTAAAACAGATAAAAACATAAATTGAAAAGAATGCAGAAAGTATTAAAAACTAGAACAAATGTAAGTGTATCATAAGAGATAACAAATGGTAGGATGCTAAATTTTTAACCTAACCGCATCTGCATCTGTCCACTTTGCAATGCATTCTGTATTAGAAGAAGGCTATTCACATCCTTGGTCCATGATCAGAAGAGTTTCACCAGAGGCTTAATCCATATACGAAATTTCCTCTTCACTTAAAAACAAACAAACAAACTGAAACAGTTTTACAATGGGTCAAAAGGGTGATCAATGCCTGCCATAACTGACTTTATAATGCTCTCTGTCTGATAACAGGGCTATTCATATCCCTCAACTATGATCAGAGGGGATTCACCATATGCTTAATCCATGTGTGGACCCTGCAAATGTATTTTGGGTTTCCACTGTCATCTATACTATAGTCTTCTGCAAACCAGGTATTCACAATTTAAGCTCTGATATCATTCCCTCTCTTAAATTTGGATGATATTATTTACAATCCTCGGGTCTTTCCAGGCTGGTGTGCTTCATTCGTGTGGATTTAGTTGGTGCCTCACTTAGATGACTGCGTGTTTGAAAACAACCCTTTAAGACTCCAGGCCTTATCCTTTCTGGTAGCCGAGCACGATCTAGTTTCTACACCACACTTTGCTATAGCACCCATATTGTCAGTGATCTCATCATGAGGGTGGGACCTTCTTCCAATAGGGCCATGTCATAAGGACTAATTTTCTAGCAGAGTAAGCCATGTAATTATCAGATTCCAAATGACCAATATGAGCTCACTAATGGTTTGGAGATCAATCTGTATTCATTCCATCTCAGTTTTTAAGGTTTTTTTATTTTTACATTCAATATTTATTTATTTGAATTCTCAATCTTTTGTTTTCTTCCAAAATTTTTTATTGGGATGTAATACAGATATAATATCATTCCTTAGTTCAATCACATCAAGCAGTATTGTACATTTGCTACAACAATCAGTTTCACAACATTATTTCTTCTGAACTCCTTGACATCATCTCCCTTTTACCCTCCCCCACTGCACCTCCCAGGAACCATTATTCTATTTGCTGTCTCTATAGGTTCATCAGTCCTGGGTTTCATGTACCATAAAAACAGAAAAACATATAAAAAAACTCAAGAGGGCTACCGCCAATGACAAAATACATCAGAGATAAACCCCAATAATAAAAATTAAAAACACAGAAAATGTTGCAAACCCTCAACTGAAAAGGTTTTAACTGTTTAAGTTAGGTTTTTCATTTTGATCTCTCTCTATAGTCAGTCATCTCTCCAATGTACTCTGTTTTGTAACCAGTTTATTCCCATCCCTCCATTATGTGTAGAGGGAAATCATGGATGGCTTATATCCTGTATATATCTCACAAATGTATCTTGGACTCCCACTGTCCAAAGCCTTCGGCAAACCAGAATCTCATAATTTGGGCCCTTCTTTTGATTGTATGATTTGCAACACGTTGATCACTGACGTTGGATCGCTTCTTCTATGTAGACTTAGTTGACATCTCACTTAGATGACTGCTTGTTTGAAAACGAGCTTTTAAGACCCTATATGCTATTTTATCTGATAGATGGGCACCATTTAATTTCCTCACTACACTTTACTATAGCATCCATATCTTCTGTGCTTCCGTTTCGACGGCTTCCAATTTTCCTAGATTCATACACGGTCTATTCCTTTTTTTGATTTTTAATGGATGTTTGCAGTTGTTTCTTCTCATTTCGAGTCATGCCCTATTAACAAATGAAGATCTGGAAAACTTTGCTTCATTCATGTCATTGAAAGTGATTCTACTTTGAGGAAGTTGTTCTTCTTCACTTGTAATTTAGAAGTCGTCCAGCCTGAGGGACTCATCTTCCAGAACTATACCAGACAGTGTTCCCTTACTATTCATAAGGCTTTTAGTGGCTAATCCCTCAGAATTGGTCCTCCTCTTTCTTCTTTCTAGTCTTGAAGGTCTACTGAAACATATTCACCATGGGTGACCCTGATGGTTTTAGGAATACTGGTGGCATAGCTTCTAGTATCACAGTAACACACAAAGCACCACAGTATGACAAACTTCAGATGAGTGGGGCAGGGTTAGAGAAGGAAAGACCACCTTCTGAAGTTCATAGACCTAGATGGAAGTTGTTTGAGAAATGATTACTTTACATTTTGATATGTTTGATCAATAAAGGTTTTTGTCAATTTTTTGTAATACTATTTTGACTTATCCTCATACAAGCTTAGGGACAGTAAAGGTTTCATGCATCATTAGAAACTAGGAGAGAGCCAAAGTGTTGTGTGGTGGAGAAAATATATGGGTTTGTAAACCCCCAAGTACAGAATGTCACTGGGCAAGGTCGCTGTAGTGTGGAAATCCCCCTTGGAAGAAGCCACTACCACCATGTATGACCAGGAGGTAGAACTTTCAACTGAAGACTTAGGGTATAAGAACAAAGGAGACGACATCAAAGTCACTGGACAAGATGGTAGTGTGATCCACTTCAAGGTGAAAATGACTACACATTTCAAGAAACTCAAAGTATCATACTGTCAAAGACAGGGAATTCCAATGAATTCACTCAGGTTTCTCTTTGGAGGTCAGAGAACTGCTGATAACCACACTACAAAAGAACTGACAATGGAGGAAGAAGATGGTATTGAGGTTTATCAGGGACAACCAGGGGCTCATTCAACAGTTTAGACATTCTTTTAATTTTTTCTCTTTTTCTTTAATATTTTTCTCTATTTTAAAAAATAGCTCTTTTGTAATGTGGTGTTCAAAATGGATTTGAAAACCTGTGCCTCTCATGCAAACATAGGACATTTAAAATCCTGGTGCTCACTGTTCATTAGCATTTGTTCTCCTTGTGGTGACTTTTGGTGATCGAGCCTCAGCTTCCTTCAGGTTATCCTCTGCTTCTTAAAAATTACGTGTGTTCACAGAGAGGCCACCTTGTCCAGGAGTGTGCATTTGCAGGCTTGTGAGATTAATAAGACTGACTATTGCATTGCAAGTGTTCACAATGACTTTCCAATTGGTCTTGAAGTTCTAGCTTCACTCCTGGAATTTGCCTTTCAGTAGGAGTTGGAAGTTTATCAGAGAACTGATCTGTGGAAAAATGACCTTTTGACGCTACTATGAAAATCTGAGAGTCTGGACCAAAAGAAGAGGCATATCCGGTGGGAGGCGTGGTAACAAATCGTTAGAGTGGTGGCTAACTCCAAAGAGACCTTCGCTGAAGAGACAAAGCATTTTAGGATGAAAATGAAAATTTTACTGGAAAATCCCTGAAAAGTTCAAATTTTCATTAGCAATTAAAAAAGCTATTCATGAAGAAGTGTCTTCAACAGGAGAAAAAAAGAAGAAGAAACTGGAAGAGAGGCCAGGAACAGTTCCTATGCGGAAGCCATCAATAGGAATGGTGTGGCTGATACCCTAATGCCCTGAACTGTGAGAAAATTAATTTTGTTTCTTTAAAACCACCCACTTTCTAGTACTTTTTAAAAGCAGTCTCAAGAAACCATGAAATATATAGCTTTTGTGATATAAATGACACTACTGTGAAGGTTTTTTAAAAACATAAATATTTGGATTTCAGATTATTTCCATTCAGCAGGATCCTAATAGTAGATATTTTTATCCATATAACTAGGTCTATCTATACCTAGAGCAAGGAGTTCTAGAGGAGTGGTTGGTTATGCTTTCTGCAGGTCAGCAGTTTGAATCCACCAGCCTCTCTCTGGGAGAAAGATGAGGCTGTCCGTTTCGAAACCATAAAGATTTACAGTCTCAGACACCTAAAGAGGTGGTTCTACTCTGGCTTCTAGGCTCACTATGAGTCAGAATCCAGTTGGTGGCTGTGAGTTTATACCTAGTATGACAGTTACCTTAGCAGTCATACAATTTACTCTTCTTCTAAACCTCACATACGCATGCACTTCTAAACTGCATAGAGTTTCTTAAACTTTTCCCACTTTTTGCTTAAGACATTTGCAAAATGGGTCAGCGCTGCGAGAAGCACCTCGGATTCACGATGCATTTGATTTTGAATTAATTTTTGGTCATCAAGTCTTTAGGAAGCTTACTTCTACCAAAATTCATTGACCCTCACATTCGGTTATGTGACCCACAATTGAAGGCGTTTTGATATAGCAGACAGCTTTTCATTCAACTAATAGGAAGTGAAATTTTTATTGTTAATTAATTATCTCATACCCTGGATATGCTTTTAATTATAGGATAAAAGCATTTGATTTTGCATTTGAAATTTAAGGGAAGGGAAGACTTGGAATGCTGCCTAATTTTTTTCCTGTTATCTTACTTCACGTTATTTAACGGTCATATTTATCTTGGATAATGGTGTAGGAAACAAGGGTGTAGACTATATCTAGGTATCAGATTTGGCCATCAATAAAAATGTTTTTTAAAAACAAAAAGTTTGGTTTATTTTGATAGGAGAACACTGTTTTTCTAACCTTCATTCATTTTTGCATTAACTGTATAGTATAATACTTACACAATAATCCTGTAGGAAAAAAGGCTTACACATTGTGAGTTAATTTTGTTTCAGGAAGCATTCTCAGCGACCTGTGGGACATTTATGTAAACTGCAGTGTAACTTCTGAGTAGTTTTCCTAACGGGCTCTATAAATGAACTGATTTACCCTTGTCCTAAGGTCATGTTCATCCTCAGCGCTTTAAAATGAAAGGGTAGATTTTTAAATCTCTTGCTTTTATAAAAATACGTGCTTATTCTGGCAAAATTTGTGGATTTTTTTCCTTTCCTCTCTCCCTGGCTCCAAAGATACTAACATATTTTGAAAGAAGAACAATGATGACTTCTGGCCTCTAACTTTTATGGTTAGCTGAGTTTCCTGTTGTTTTTTTTATTTAAGAGAAATTTTCCTTCAAAATGAGTGTATTCAAGTTATAGTAACTCGTTTAATATTAAATAATTTCAACTTTAGCACTAATCTCTCTCAATTCTATTTGCCTATCTTTTACAACCCATTTATACAATAATTTCATTTCTCCATCACTGCATTTAAGGCATGTTTTTGTTAGAGCACAAGTTTATGAGACTTTATCCCAGCCTTCATGAGTTCATATGCTTATATGGCATAATGGGAAGAAAAACACAGATCAATGTTGTAAAGCAATAAATCAGAATAAATGTAGAAATTTCACCTTTCTGAGAGGTTAAAAAACGGGTTCATTTTCAAGAGCTTGGATTTGTTTTCCTGACTGCTACTTTCGAATTTACAAATTGACAACTCTTATCATAAAAACACGGATTTAGAAACTCTAGATATACTGATATATTTTTACACCCATATTATCCTTTTTTCTCTCTTTATGTTTAAATGCTCATTTAAGGAAAAGAGAGACATTTTTCTTAGGTGGTAAATCATTCAAATTTGAAAGTGATAAAATGGTAAAAAAAAAAAAGGTAATTTCAAAATTAGGCCTTTCTAATATTTATGAGGATTGGTATGCATAAAACCAAGTCCTAGTTTAATTTGGAAAAATGGAAAGTCATGCAAGGTAGGGGATACTAAATTAGTTCATTCACTGCCATTGAGGCCTTTTTTTTTCCTCATAGTGACCCTATAGGATAGGGTAAAACTGTCCACTTTGGTGTAGCAGGCTATGCCTCAGGCAGCTAGCTGTAAGGTCAGCAAGTGAAGCTTTCTACTCATGTAAAATGTTAGAATCTTAGAAACCCATCGGGGCAGTTCTACTCTGTTTGATAGGGTTGCCATGAATCAGAATCCATTTGATGGTGGTGGGTTTCATTTTGGATTTCTAAGATTAAATCTTTAGAGTTGCAGAAAACCTCATCTTTATCCCACATGGCAGCTGGTGGGTTCCAAGTGATGACCGTGCAACTAGCACCCCAACACTAACCCCGTGCATTGCCAGGGTTCCTTAATATTATACTTAGTTTCACTCAAAAGTTAACTCTATGAACTGAGTGGCAAAAATAGTTAAGTGCATTACTACTAGCTGAAAGGTTAGCAATTTGAACTCATCCAGGGATGCCTTAGAAAATAGGCCTGGAAATTTGCTTCCCAAAGATCAAAGCCTTAAAAATCCTATGAGCACACATGGGCTGGACAAGAGTTGGAATCAAGTCAATGGCATGTAACAACATTAACAACAACATTCTTCGTAGTGCTTAAACATTCTTTAAAGAGTGAAATTAAGCTTTGATACAATGGGAAATTATCCTAGAAGAAAATAATATGCACTAAATTACAAAGTTGATAATTTGTAAAGTTGATAGTGTATTCATAGGAACACTCCAAAAAACCAAACTCACTGCCATTGAGTAGATTGTTGCTCATAGCAACCCTATAGGCCAGGGTAGAACTGCTCCTGTGGGTTTCTGAGACTAAATCTTAAAGGGAGACAAAAGCCTGTTTTCTCCTGTAGAATGACTGGTGGTGTCGAACAGTTGATCTTGTAGGCAGCAGCCCATTGCTTAACCCACTATGCCACCCAGGCTGCTCATAGGAATGGTAGTAGGGTAAGGAGATGAAATTCTAGACCCCTGATTATTCTATCCCACCACTTGTCTGTTAGTTTGTCGTATTGTGGCGGCTTATGGGTTGCTGTGATGCTGTCACTGGTATTGCCAATGTCAGCAGGGTCACCCAGCGGAAACAGATTTCAGTAGTGCTTACAGACTAAGAGCAAATAATGAAGGACTCGGCTTCTCCCTTCAGAGCAAAGAGCCCTTGAAAACCTTATATATAGCTTTGAAACATCATCAGGTACTGAAGGCCTAATGAATGGAAGCAGCACATAGTCAGAGACAGTGCCAGAGGATGATCCCCTCAGGTCAGAGAGCACTAGAAATGTGATTGCGGAGTTGCTGCTTTCTCCACGTAGTATCCTTGGTGGCATAGTGGTTATGATACTTTAATCAAATGCTTTTGGCTGACTTGGGAATATTCAGGGTTTATAAATTATTTCTCACACATACACACACAAACTCACACACAGTCAGTGCCATCAAGTCAATTCCAGCTCACAGTGACCCTTTAGGAGAGGCTAGAAATGCTCCTATGGGTTTCCAAGACCTCGTAAGATATTTAAGAACTCCCTAACACAAGGAGATATTTTAATGTTTAATTACTATGGGTTCTAGAATTTGTCTCAGAGCCCTCATCAAATCATTTTATATTAATGTATGTTGTTTTCCAGTACTGGGTTGACATATTGGTTATATTACCTGCTCCTGCCACCCAGCCTCACCCTAGCTTGTACATTCCTAGGAAAATAATTGTGTCAAACTCAGTAAGTATATTTGAGTACCTTAGGAGGAGATAAGCTTTGAGAGGGCTCTGTTTCTGAGGTGGTGTGAGATTTCTAATTCTATCTAGAAGATGTCATAGGTGACTGTATCTGGAGGAAATGAGAGTGACATCCAATTAGGTATGCTTTTACCATTAAATTTTTTTTTTAAGATTCGGCATATTTCTTAGTCATTCCTTTGTCAGGGAGTCAAAGTGTAGCGTGGGAGGTACATTCAGCCTTTCACATTGTTAGCTTAGTTTAGAACTCTATCACAGCAACTTTTTGGAAAGAGCAAGATTTGGAAGTTAAACTAGGCTTTATGGGACAGGGTGGAGAGAGAATGTGAGGAGGCTCTACCCTGAACACTCCAGGGAAGAATTAGAAAGATTAATTGCTTT